AGGGCGCGCGGAAGCTGCTTCCGCCCGGAAACGCCGCGGCGCGCACGTGGGCTGCCGGGCGGGCGCAGCTGTCACGTGCGCCCCCCACAGGGAGCCCGGCTTTCGGATCTGGGCGTTCAGGCAGAGCGGTTTCGACACGGTACTGGGTGCACCGGGAAGAAGGGTCGCGTAAGCACGCAGATCAACGTTGTGCATTGCTGTTATTGCTTTAGACCGTGTTGCTGAGCCGCTTAACTGTGTTAGTCATGACAAAGCGGAGTTAAGAGACCCTATGAAATTGGTGCTCGGGCTCCGTGCCCTAATGTGGAGGGGCATGGGCCCTCGGGGAGCTGCCCGTGGCTCCATCCGGCTCCCTGTGCACTGCCCCAGCCGGACAGCGCCCCCAGCCCCACTCCCGCATGGCAGGGGAGCTCAAGCTACACCCCCATGCTCCTTCCCCTCCATATACCTACCTGCAGGGCACTGCTCTCCATCCTGCCAGTTTTTTTTCCTGGCCTTGTACATGCATACAATGCTCCCCCACCCCAAGCAGGACCCCTTTCAAGCTGCATGCTGCCTGCCTGGCAAGGGAAACCACCCTTTCCAAGGGAAACTGGGCACCCAGTGGGCCCCTGGGTGTGGGCCTCAAGGGCCTGTGCATTAATCTGCCTCTGGTGCCCAGCTCCTGAAATGTCAGCCCAAGACCAATGGTGGATGGTACAGCTGGCTGGAAGCAGCGGGGTGTGGAATGCAGCAGCTTGAATGGAAAGCTTCCACAGCATCTCTCGCTCCCCCACTTAAAAATTGCAAAGCCTGGGAAATACACTGCAGGCAACACCACCTCTGTCCCATTCTTTGATGGTATGTGCGTGCGTGCACAGAATACCCTTCTGCTGTTTTAATTACGAGTGAACATCATGGCAGTCAATGTGGACGCATGGAGCACCTAATCATTGCATACCTTGGTTTGGGACCAGGCAGACCCATGCCCATTCCATTTCTGTTACACCATTTAAGACCTCTGGATGCTTCATTATCATCATGACCTTTCCATGTGGGCAGTATCATCGGCCTCATTTTACAAATGGGAAAAATGGAAACACATTTTATGCTTACCCAAAGACACGTGGCCTGTCAGAGGGACAGCCCTGGCTGTGACTGTTCAACAGTCCTATGAGATGAGGGGCTAAATCTTTTGTTATGCGGGGGTGAGATGAAGTGCCCATAGTAGTTCTTTCTAGCTCTAAGATCTCAGTATTCAGGCTAGAGACATGCAAAGCAATGTAGACACAGTACTTGGTGTACCAGTAAAAATGGTAGCATAAGAACAAACCAACATCATACATGTTGAAAACCTGTTATTACTTTATACCTTATTACTGAGCCACTTAACTGTATTAGTCATGACAAAGCAGAGTTAAAAATGAGCCTTTGAGTTAAAAGCTGTTAAACAGTATTTAATTGAAATACTTAAATGTGCACCTCAGTCTCAGAAAGCACCACTGTGGCTGCATCTACACAAGACACTTACTGTGCGGTTGTTACTGTGCAGTCATTTAGTGCTTGCATATACAAGTACTAAATCTAAATGACTGCACAGTAACCAGTGTTACTGTACTGTAGTGTACCCACACAGCTTCTTGGCAACACTGACCGCATAGTAGCTCCTACTACTGTGCACTAGCATCGTGTCACGCTTCATAACGTGCACAGTCAGCATCTCACGTAGACACAGCTTGTAAGCAGCATTAACTGCTCCTTTTCTTAAGGGAGAAGTCAAAGATCTGAAAGGACCAAGGAGAGACCTCACTCCTCTCTCACCCTCAGCATAAGTCCTGGCGGGTAAAGTTTGAGGCATAATGAAGCTGTCACAAGGAAGGCTGCATTTTTCTGTGAGAAGAACATTATGAAATAACACATCTCATGTGTACTATACTTGCTTAAAACAAACATGATACCTTCAACACGTGGATTTCTGACAAGTCAAACAAGTGGTATTTGACCCTCAAATTGTCATAAAAATATCAGCCACCCATCTAGTTCTGCTCATCAAAGCTGCTTGCAGTGTGTAATGGAGCTGGAGAGGGACTCTTGGGGTGAGCCATCTGTTTAAAAAAAAAAGTTACAATTTCAGTTTTAAATTTCAGCACGCTTACTTACACAACAATGACATGGGAGCTTATCAACCACTTCCAAAATATAAGAAAATCCCTAGTCTGACATGGAAAATGCTTTTAAACCTCAGATTCCTTCCAGCATCAACAGGAATCTTGTTCTATTTCTCTATTTTCAGCTGGTGCTGCAAACACTGCTACCATCCATACAGCCAGGGATCTTTGAGTCCATAGCCGCTGGATATTCCAACATATGGGACACATCCAGACGAGCACGCATGTGCAATCTGCGGTGCCACAAACCTGTCTGTGGCTCTGTGAACCACATGCATGCATGTGTGCATGCAAATACACATTGCTGCAATGCTAATTAGTAGCACGGTGGGCTTTTTTTTTTTTTTGGACACTGGGAGGAGATCCCGGTGTAAAATCAATCAATCAATCAGTCCATTAATCATTCATTCTAGAAAGACGTGGGACGGTCCATGTGGCTGTAGCGTGCACTGCCCAAAACAAGAGCCTGGCTGGCCAGAGCCATGCTCCAGCTGCTGGCCAGGCTCCATGTGCCTGGATTGCCACTGCTGCAGCCCTAGGAGGCCCCCAGGATCCCAAGTAAGACTGCTGGGGCCAACTCAGGTGCTGGCCCCAGCCTCCCCCATCCCAATTGGGGCAAGTTAACGTGCGCCAGAGCGCACATGCAGGGGTGTTCCCTGGGGACAACCAGCAGCAGTGCAAATGCATGCTGCTGCTAATTGTCCCCGGGAAATGCACGTTCTGACTCACTGGGACATGCCCATGGGGTACATCCTTTTGACTACTGAGATTTAGGACATTTCTGGAGAGCCTCACATGAGCCCTGCCTGCAGCAGAGAATGTTTGGGGTCCAGGTAACAGGAAGACCCAATCACCCCAATTCCTCCTGCTTCCTCAAAGATACTATGAAACTGAAAAAAATTGAGAAGGGAACACAAGTGGGCAGTTTGTAGGTGTGCTTTCCACATCATGCAGAGGCCACGTTGAAGGAGAATCTTACCACACTCCTTCCCACGTGTGTGGGCTGAGCCATTGATTAGGCTTTGAATTACGCTCCAAAGATTCAAGTGCATTTCGTATGATGCTACTAAGATTTAACATTTCTTATGTGCTTATTACTCTCAAAGCACGGTACACTCATTAATTAAATGGTAGGCAGCATGAGGCACTAGGTATCATGAGACAAGGCTTAACTCCCAAGTCTGCCAATGACCTGCTGAGTGACCTTCGGCAAAAATCACATCACATCTCTGTGCTTCAGCTTCCTCATCAGTGAAATGCACATAATAGCTCTCTTTGTGAAACCTTCAGATTCATGGATGACAAGTTTGAGTGAAGTATAACTTATTAGTAGTAATTATGCACTCAGTTGTGCTTGCTACCAAAGGCTCTCACGACCCACTAAGGCATCTTATGTCTATGAAGTGCCATGCAAATCAATAGTGCTTTTTTGCAAGAGAAACATTCTTTGGAATTCTGTAGTTTATTACCAGCAATTAACTTTTTGCAACAAAGGAGCTGAAATTTGTCTTGCCTGAAATTTGCGCTTCAGTGCTTGAGTCATTATGGGTGTCAATCCTGTGCCAGTCGCCATGTTCTCTTTGTTGTTTAATGGAGTTCCACCAGGACTTCTGAAAAGACAACAGGAATGTTAGGGGAAATCATTTTTAGTTTTCTAGTTAAAGAAAAGAAGAAGAAGAGAATAGTAAGGAAGTTACCTCTTTATATTGACTCTTTTTAGATGTTTTCGAAGGTCTAATTGATTTTTGCCGGGAGTGCTAATAATAAAAAACAAAAAATGTTAAAATCAATTTATTTCTCAAGTACCAGACATGAGGATGATGATGATTATGAACAAAATCAACTTTTCCATAGAACAAAGAAAGTACAAGGTTTCTTACATTAAGAGGTTTGTAATTCGAGCTGGTGGTTGGTTGGATTTAGGTCTCAGATTAATGCTTTGTAAGTCTGAAACCGTAATTAATGCCCTGCGTATCTTCACTGGTGATCCCCCCTAAAGGCACAAAGAACAGTGTTACCACAAATGCATTTTAAAAGGCCCCACTGAACATACTGTCTATTTAATATTTATACTCTGCATGTTTTAGTGCATTCTGACTCTTTAGCTTTTTTGAATCATTAAGATTGAATGTGTCTTGGATAAAAATAGGCATTTTCTAAAAGACTCCTGAGCAACAAAATGCTAGGGAAAAGAAAATACCCGTCCTGATAAAAATCAACACGTTTACAGAAATAGTGGAACACAGCAAGCCATCACCCTAAGCTGAAAAGAACACACTTTGCATAGACTCCAAACAAAGTCATTTACCTTCCCTGCTTTAAATAGGCATCTGCAAAATGAGAACATTTTCAAATAACCCTTACTGGAGACTTGGAAGTGGAAGGATTATGTTGGTTTTTGAGTCCAAATTCACTTTTGGCAGGATCTTTTTGACAGTCACTATGTTAGGGGTAAATTTGGCCCTATGGCAGCAGCACATTTTGAAGACTGCATAGTGAATGCTAAATAGGATTTGTTCACCAGCACTTAAGCATTTCTCCTAATGTATGAAGTGAATTAGTTGATTCACTGGATTTATCACCATTGCCCCAAACGTGGTCTAAAACTACAGAGAGCAACATACACAAAAGAATACGCTAGCTAAAAATAGGAATCCATAAATCATTCAAGACAGAGAAAGAAACCACAGCCCACACATGCTATTGTTGGAGGGGTTAGCAGATATTCAGTCCTTCACCAGGGACTATTCTCTGAGGCAGGGCAACTGGGTGGTGCTTAAATTTGTTTTTAAAAGGGTCTTTGCAAGATGAACTGTCAAGTGCAATCTCACAGCTGAGCAGAGTGCAGGCACTGGTCTTGGCTAACACCACGGCCTGAAAAATTCATGACATGGCCCTGAATGAGAACAGGAGTTCTGCCAAAGCCCAGAAAGACCAAGTTTACTTCTAGTCTCTGCATCTCTCTGAACAGCAGCAAAATGGCTTCCAAGGTTGGCAAATGTGGCAACCACTTTTGTATGGATACAGGAACCACGAGCAGAACCAAACTTCAAGTCAGAAATCCTGCATCTCATGCACAGGCCAACCAGACAAGGTGTGCCCTGGTCACACCCAGCAGGAGTCACCCTTCTACAACCACTACTCTGGACCTGATGGAAAAAAGAGGTTGTAGGCTTACAGAGAAATGCTATCGTCTCCTCTGTGCATGGAGCCATCCTAGAGCCGGCCTCACTGCCACAGAGGTTCAATAACCCATCCATGCACACTGGAATCCTACTGGTTCTATTGTGGGCAGTATTTGTCTTCTGAGCATACTCCCGTTTGGTTTACCTTGTCTGGTCTTGTGCAGGGTTGGGTCTTCTTTAGTTTTACATTCAGGAGATCCTTCATTGTAATTTGTATGGGACCATCTTTTTTTACTGATATGGCCTGTTAACAAGGGAATAAAAAATTTGAAACTGCAAGAGTTGAATGCCTTTTGGGTGCTGTACAACTCTGCACCCTGAACCCAACACCACTCAAAGACACAGAATAACCCGGTTGATCCTTACCAGAGGGGTTTTATTGCCATTGACCCTTTTGAGAAGTAGAGGTGCTGGAGGGGGGCGTGGCGGGGGCAGTGGTGGTGGTGGTGGTGGTGGAGGAAGAGCAGCTGCAGGTTGTAGCACTGCTGTAGGAGACCCAGATACCAGCTCTGGAAGGCTGATACATGCACATACAGGAGCATGTATTAATGGTTTATTACATCTTTGGCATGGAGAGTTTTCTGAGGAACGAACCACTGTCCCGCTCATCTGGCACAGAAAAAAAATCAAATAAAAATTCACTCTCTGTCCAATGTACGGGAAAGTTCAGGGAATAGGGGTTGTGACTCAGTTGAACCAAAATGCAAGGCCCAAAGATATCCTGCCCTAGGTCTGATCCTTTAGCTGGCTACCTGCGGTCCTCCAGCTCCCAGGCTGTGGCGCTTCAAGTGATGCTGTCTGTATAGGGTGTTGAAAGTGCTTTGCAATGAAAGGAGATTGGGAAATGTGTATTCTTTCTATTTATATGTGACATGTCTCCATATTGGACCTTAGGAATTGTTTTAGCAGCTTTACTGGATATTCAGGGTTGGATTAATTTGATCACCCAGAGTTAGAATAAAGGCCCTGTTCTGGTTTCCCTGCATTATACACTCCAATTGCATTCGGTGACTGAATGAAGGGGAAACATTACAGTGATGCAGAACATACCCCTGCCACTCATTCTAAACAAGCAGTTCCCAGCATCTGTGCATAGCCCCTTTGGGGCTCCATGCAGACAGAACGGTCTCTTCACATGAAGCCAGCAGCCAGATTTGACAATGATTTTTACTTTAGCAATATTTTCAGGACGGATCTTCATTTCTAACACTCCTCTTAAAGCCAAAACACTGCCAAGATTATAAAAGTAACACGCTTGATTAAAAAAAAAAAAAAAAGAAGAAGTTGCCATCTGAAAAATGTTTACCTGCTATTGCTACAAGTGCTAAGATCATTATAAATGGAAGAGGAGCAACACATTTACCTTTGTCAACAGTTTGCTTGCTCTCTACATATAGTGACTTTCCTTGCCCCGCCCCTGCCTAGTTAGTTAAGGATATAGAGGCACATCAAAGGATCAAGGCCTCACTCAGTTGCCTCTGTCAGACTACAGTTTTCCTGAAGTAGGATGTAAGGGAAAAATATCTGAAGAATAGGAAAAGCATGATTGTAACAGTGGTGTGGACAGGAGTTTCACCCATATAGAATCATAGAGAAGTCGGGCTAGAAGGGACCTCCAGAGGTCATCTACTCCAACCCCCTGCCTGAGATGGGATCATCCCTCTTCAAACCACCCTATACACACCAAAATCTAAACTCTGCATAAGCCTACCATCAACCCCGACCAGGACACAACACAGCCCTTATACCCTAACCTGCCACAGGAAAGCAAGGGCACCACAGCAGCTGACGTCCTGTTTCTACAAAGTAGTGTCAATATATGCTGAAGAGGTCCTATGCTCCCCACCCCTCAACTATAGAGGAAGGCAAAACCCTCCCTAGTCCATACCAATGTAACCAAGGGGGAAAATTCCTCTCTGACCTCAAATCTGGCAATCAGTCTGATCCTGAGCAGAGGGCATATATAAATCCCCGAAACTCCATTTTATTCTCTTTCAGTGAACAGATTTCAAATTGCAGGTGTCCCTTTAGCAGTGCACATACTTCTAGTTTTCCTCCCTGATCCCAGGTCCTTAAGTGTTTAGATAAACAAAAGAAAAAAAACCTGAGGGTACTAACGTAACTGCAGCTGACCTGGAGCATTCCTTGTAGTCTGGAAAATTCAGTTTCCAGCTTTTGCATTTCTTTCCTAAGCGCATTCAGCTCTCGTAGATATAAGCGGGATGGGAATATGGTGTCTTTGATGACTTCAAAACTCTAAGTATTACAAAGAAACAAGGTGAACATGATTATATGCACTGGAAGTTTCACGCAAAACCCTATGTGACTTAGGAGCACAATCCCCACCAGAAGTCATTGGCCTCAGTCAGGAGACTTGTCATTGGCATGAAGACACACAGAAAGGAAGTTTCACACCTGTCATTTCATTTTGACTTTTTCCATCCTGGGGTCAGTGCCTGTCAATCAAAGAAGACTTGCTACATTTGTGAGATGTTATAATTGTCAAACTCTGATCCCAGCTAACGGGGACTGAAAGTAGGGTCACATTTCCTCAAAACAAACTTTTCCTGCAGATTCTCAGCTCTCACAGCTCAAATTTTAGCTGCAAGTGCTGTAGTGTGGTCTATGTCTGATCCATTTGGGCTGCAAACTAACATCTCCTTCCCTGTTAAAAGGCGGAAACTGCCCATGTAATGCAAATCTTTCAGCTATTGCAATAAGGTCTCCAACTTCACATACGAGTTAAAAGTAAAATATTTCTGTGCCGCTTAACATACCCATTCCCCTAACTGAAACCCTTACTGATTTCTCCCAAATGCTGCTCTAGCAAGAGATTCTAAAAGTTTGTATATGTTAGGCTTCATCTCAGTTTTGAAGAGAGGGACACGTAGAGTGTGAGAGTGTGTGTACTGCACATGCGTGCTACAATAATCTTACATTGACAAAAATAAATATTTGGAAAACGCACCTGTGCAATACTGTTCTGGCACCATGAGCAGATTGATGACATCGTCATCACTAAGGGCTTTACTGCATTCTTCACAGTGGGCAAGTACACATTCCAGACCGAGAAGCGGTGACTTTGGCTGCACGGCGTGTTGGGAAGAGGACCATCCACTGACCTACAGAAGATTTCAGACAGGGACATTTCAGCCATCTCAGAATGTAACTGTGGTCCGGCGTCAAGAGCTAGGTCAGAAACAACCAGTGAGTTTGAAATGAACTTCAGCACAGGGGGATAAAGGAAATAAGTGACACATTGAAAGGAACTTTCTACAACTGTCCAAGAAATAAGATCAACCCACTTGATTCTCAGAAAACCTAAATCACTGATGCTTCTTTTCATTATTGAACAGCAGATGACAGCTCAGCCAACCAGTTTCTCATAACTGTCAAGGTGCAGGGCACCAGCCAGACAGCTGGTGGCTGTTCAGTCTTTGCCTACGCAGCTCCTCCCTGCCCAGTCACCAACGCTGCCTCTCTGTATTTAGTTTGGTCGTCGTTTCACTCTCCTTTGGCCCACTGCTCCTTGAAGAACTGTGCTGGCCAAGCTAGGATGTTTCATTTACGTGGCTAAAGCCATTCGACTTCCCATTCTTAACAGCGTCAAGAAGTGACCTGTCATTTTCCGGCAGCAGCTGTGATCCCGGCTCTCGCAGCTTGATTAGCCTAGTGGATCTCAAACTTTTTGGGCTCAAGCCCCCTCTGTTAGAGTCAAGGCTGTGAAATGAGAGGCACCCCACTTTAAAAACCAGCATGACCTCCTTGCAGAGGGGGTAGGCAGTTGTTGGGGGGCCGAGCAGCCAGACAGGGACTGAGCCTGCAATTATATCTGCTTATTTCTTCACACCCGACTTTTCCCTCTGCACCCATCAAAGTATCCTGTGGCACCCATGGGCACCCCACGCGAGAACAAGCAGTTTAGCCCCGAAATTACGTCTGGAAATTGGTTGGGAGAGAACGCTCCCGGACACAGCCTCTTCCATCCCTGATTTCGGACGATGCCACCTCGCACTTGGAACAAGTGACGACCCTCCCGGCGAACGAGGAGGCCAAACGCATCCCCTCTTATTTATTTATTTTTTAAGGAAAAATGTTCACGTCCCAAGTCAAATCGCTTCCAAATCCATGTGAATCATTTAAGAACCACGCGTGACCCTGCTACCGGCAAGCATCCTCCACAATCCCGGCAAGTGAGAGAATTCGACGGGTCCCTGGCCACCTACCTGGGAGCGGGGGCAGCGGGGCACGGGAGCAGCGCGGCCGTGCTCCTCCTCCTCCTCCGCTCCTCATGCAGCTTGGCCCGGGCTCGCAGCTTGCGCTGGCGCTGCTTGTACTTCGCCATGGTTTCTAGAGAGGCACCTGGGGGACATCAGAGAAGTCAAGCCCTGCCCAGACCCCTGCTTGGAGGAGGGGAAGTGGAAAGGCCGGGGCCTGGGGGATAGGGCTGCTTCCAGGGCCCACATCCATCCCTGCCCTCCTCTGTAGCCCAGCACCAGGGCCTTCTCACTTCCCCCCCAATTATGGACCTTTGGCCCTTCACCTCTGGCCTCCTGACCTTTAGCCCATGGCCCCGACCCCACTCACCGCCCCAAGCAGGCGCCACCCTGTAATTCAAACCGCTCCGCCGCGGCGCCGCAGCCAATCACAACCCGGCTCTCTGCGCCCCGCCTCGCCATGTTCCCATTGGTGGGAGTGATCTCGGAGCGAGGGTGGGTTGGGAGGTGGGTGAAGCGGGACCCAATCAGATTAAAAGAGGGGGAGGGGAAAAGCCAATCAGGGACGAGTGGGGGGTGTACAAAGGAAACACACCCCCACCTTGCAGGAACAGGCCAATCCTAGAGCAGCGGTGAGCCCTCTGCCCAATGAGGCGCCACTGCTGCCTTCTCGGCCAGTCACATTGGAAGCCCGCACGCAGCCACTGAGAGCAGGCGGCACTGTGGGCCTAGCCAATGGCGTGGCGCGCTTCCCCTCCCAACCAATAGGCGCGTCCGGACCATGAAGCGGGTTTACATTCCCGCTCGCCCAATGGGCGCGTGCCTGTGTGAGCAAAAGGCCAATCAGAAGGGAGCGATGAGTGACAGCTGCCCAATGGGGAGCCCTGGCTCTGCCGCTCTGTAGCGAGGGGGGTGGGTCTCCCTCAGCCACCGCCTGAGGAATGTCAACTATTCAACATGGAGACGGCGGTTAACAAGCTGGAGACCATGGTGAGCGCGGGGGGCGGGGGCTGGGCCGCGAGGGGGAGGCCGCGAGCCTGAGGGGACGCTGGGCCCCGCGCTGTGGGTGAGTGGGCGAGGGGCTGTGCGGACCCGCTCCCATCCGGGCGCTGAGGGAAGAAGCGGGAGGGACACGGCTCCCCCGCCCGCGTGGGCCGGCCCGGTTCCGCGCTTCTCGATTGGCCCGGGCCGGGCAGATGTGTTCCGGCCGGTCCACTTGCCCTCGCCCCGGGGGGGGAGGGGCAGGGTGGGCCCGCTCCATTCAACCCCCCAGCGCGCGCGGGGGGGGGGTTGAAACAGAACCCGCTTGGGCCGGTCCATTTTCCTGCTGGAGAAGGGGGTGGAGCCGATTTCATTCGGACTGGTCCATTTTCCTCTCCCCCCGAGGTGGAGTAGAACTCACCTGGACAAGTTCATTTTCTTGGGGCTAGGTCTCACCTGGACCGGTCCATTTTCCATTCAGCTGGGAGGGGGGGAGGAGCAGAGGTGGTGTGGGCAGGTCCATTCCTTTTCCCTTGGGGGGCAGGGCATGAACCTGGAGCTGCCCATTCCCTCCTGTCCTGGGGGGGTGAGCGGTGGGCCTGGCCCAGCCTGGGCTCCTGCCCTGGGATGGGGCATGGGGTGGCCCTTCCTCTTCCTGTCTCAGGGCTGGGGAGCCTGTGCCTGGGTTAGTCCCTTCTCCCCTTGTCCCAGGTGGGTGAAGCACCAGCTTCTCCGGACCAGCCTTCCTCCTTTTGGCCCCAGCTCGCCTCTCCTTGGCGTGGGGCAGGAAGGATGCGGGCTGCAGGTTGTGGGATGGTGGCTGTCTGTCCCCTGTTGCTGGGGTCATCCCCCCGATTCTGGGGCGGGGACGTGCTGGAGAGCTTCCTGCAGCCCTTTCCAGCTTGGAGAGAACCTGAGCAGCCTGGTTGGCTGGGGTTACTGTCCCCTTGTCCTGGTAAGGAAAGAAAGGCAGTTGTTTTGGCCGTTCCGGTCCATATATCCCACTGGACTCTTCACTGTGTGTTAACACCACCTCGTGCTGTTCCCTCAGGCTGGATCCAGCCACATTGCATAATGCTGTCACCTTGCTTCCTGCCCCCCGATCATGTTACACAGTGGTAGTTTGACAGCGGTAGCTTCCACAGTGCAGATAGGATCTGGGAATCTCTTCCTTTCCTTCCATATCTGAGCCCTGTTGTGACAGCCCTCTGGACCCGAGTCAAGATCTGGGCTTCAGTTGCTTTCTGGAGACTTGATACTGATGTAATTTAGTAGCTGTTTGGATCATAATGGGCATGCATTGTTTATAATTTTGCTTGGTTAATACTGTGAATATGCCCAGAGATCTTTGGGAATGATCTGTGTAATCATAGATTTTTAGGGTTGGAAGGGACCTTGGTAGGTCATTGAGTCTGACCCCTGCCCTAGGCAGGAAAGAGGATCTCCATATCCAACCCGTATTCAATTTATTATGGATATTTCCATTTCATTTCTAAATGGTACCATAAATATCCATTTTATAGGCTTTTATTTGAGATTTGCACATACTGACAGATGGCTCTTTAAGATCTCATGGTGATTTCTTCTGATGCTTGTCAAGGAACTTGGAGGTATTTTTGCCTATCGCTTATTTGTCCCGACAGCATTGCTTCTTTTGGTATCAGTAATGGCCCTGCAAAGAATAAGTAAATTATCCCATCCAGAAAGCTAGGTATTGCAGGAGCGTGGTGTTGTCTTTTAATACCTGCTACCTGGAACTGAAACTTAAATAAGGTGGTGAGAATGAGTGTAGTGTTTTGCTGGGACCTATTTATACATATCATAAAATCAGTAAGAAAGCTACTCAAGAGAAACTCAGAACAAGGAGGGCTGTGGACCAGACCACTGTAGGAAGCAACATGTATTGTATGTCTCCGTTACCCCTGACTCTAGTCAGTGCTTTTATAAGCACCGAATTTAAGGACTTCCTAGACCAGTTATTCTCAGCCACGGTCCCATGGCACTCTGGGGTACCTTGAGATATATTATCAAGACTACTGTGCAATGTTAACATGGTTAAGTGTGCAAACGCAAGTCACAAGATGAACCCAGAGATTTTCAGAATATTTTTAACACTGTAGATTCCTATTTGATCTGTTGTGGTCTTTTTTGACCGCATGGCAACAGAAGAATTGCTTTATTATTTTTCTGTAATCAAAAAAAGAAGTGAAGATTGGGAGCTGGCATTTTCCAAGGGGTGCCTCAAGTCTAAAAGGTTGCGGATCATTGTTCTAGACCCTTATATTTGACTTCATTCCTCTACATTCAGTTACTAAACCACCTTCTTCATTCACAGCATTGCTCAACTTCCACTCGCAGTGTAATACATCCTTTAACACATCAGCAGCAACAAGCAAGTAAGCGTGTGTTGTCTGAAAATAAACAGTGTTTGGCTGAATGCCCTCTAAAGTATTAGCTTGTTCTGCTAATATGTCTCTGTCATCTCATCGAGTGACCTATATTACCGCACTATTCCCGTATCAAGACTCTTCTGAGTAAGCACGGGAGGTGATATCGTGGTTTTGTGATATGATTTGCATTATAACATAAATATTAATATTTTATAATGTATGTAGACAAAAAGGGTATCTGATTCTAGTGCCCCAGAGCTGAAAAGGCATTGCATTAAACTTGTGTACTACCTAACTCTGAATTTCATAGCATGCTTGAAAGATTCATTTTGTATTCTCAAACATGGCACTTTGGAGGGCGGGGGGTTGGTTTTGTTGTTCTTTCTTTTTTGAACTCCTAGGCCATATACTGTATATGGTAAATCGGACATTAATTTCTGTAGCATCCTGTTCTGCAGTAGCTACTAGCTTGAGGTCATCCACTCAAATTGAGCTTAAAACATTGGTTCTACCCTGTTTAGATGTAAGGTACCCCTGGATAGACTCAAGGTACCCCTTGTAAAATGCCAGCTCTTAGTTTTCACTCTTTTTTTTTTTTGCCTACAGAAAGATAACAGATAAGTTTTTCTGTTGCAAGTAACTTAGAAAAATCAATGCGTGTATGAAATGTTTGGGTTTATCTTGTGATCATGTTTCAAACTTAGCAGTGTTAACATTGTGTGGCATCTTGCAGTACCCTTAAATGTGTCTCACGACACCCTGGTTGAGCATCACTGACTTGGAATGATAAAACAATACCATATTGGCTTCAATGATCTATTCCATTTTTTTTTTGTCAAACCTCTTGACAATTCAGTTTTGTAAATGTAGAACTGGCAGTTGTAGCCGCACAATCAGTATGTTTTGAGATCTACCTGTCTCTTCCAAAACTTGTTTTGAATCCTGTTTCCTTTTCCAATTAAAGATTTTTTTTTTTTCTTTTCCCTCTCACCCCCTGCAAACCTGCTAGAATTATCAAGGGCTAGTTGTCAAGTTCTGTGTCACAGTATACCCACATTTTAGGGTGTCACACTTTTAAAGAATCTGGTCATTCACAATTGTCTTCGTTCTGAATGCAAACATAATTGTAACAAAAATAAGTAAGAAGGTAGTGTGCAGGTGTAAAAGTCGACACAGTGGTTTCGTTGAAGGCTGTAGGACTTCTTCCATTCACTTGTATTGGAGCCAGGAGCTGAACCAACATCTTAAGGCCTAATTTCCAAGTAGACTAAAGAGATCTTGTAATGAATTTTGAAGGATTGGTTGTAGACTAAGAGTCTGAACAGACAGTCTATCCATCTGACACATGGCAGAGCCATTTTGAGTCTCGAGTTGTACTTTTATATTAGTAGAAGATGCCAGGTTTTCAGTAATAATCATTGGAAAACTTCTTACACACCTGTCTAGCTCTTTTTTCAAAGTATAGTTATTTGTCTTTCTCTCGTCTTTAAATTCATGGGAATTTGTGTCTTGGCAACTATGTCATGGTTATTATAGCTTTGTGTCGCTTGTTTTTGCTTCTGCTCATTGTTTGTTTGCTCTTCCTGCATTTTTTGTGAAGACAACTCTCTTCATAGAAGTGTGAAAAAATAATACATCTTACTTCCCCAGAGGTTTTGGCATGCACCTTTTATAAAAAAGAATCAGTTAGTCTGTAGTGGAACCTAGGAGAAACTCTTATTGTTTTGCAGGAAACTTAAAAAGAACAATATGAACGATAATGCTGAATAGTCAGAGTTGACTCAGAAGCAAATCTGTATGTATTTGAAAGGCAAATGATCAAAGTACAGTAACATGAAGAGAAGTAGGAGTCTTATAATATCCACACAATATGGAAATATTAATTATGCATAAAGAGCTCATACCTAACATTTTTAAGGACACAAATGCAAGG